GGTCCAATCCTCTCTCACAAAATGTACAACCGAGTCCTGATCTTATTAAAACTCGTGTCACTTGCATTGAAAATGCACTAGAAAAGACGCTGAACCGACGCCTAACTACATTCTTTGCACAAATAAACCAACCCATCCTTGAGGCTGACCCAACAGACACATCATCGACACCTACAGACAACGATATCTGCCGTAACACGAGTTCAACCACACCATATGGTGTCTATCCTTGAGGCTGACCCAACAGACACATCATCGACACCTACAGACAACGATATCTGCCCTAACACAGCTACTATTGCTGGAAACACATCGTTTGAACTGATGTTGAACAACCTGTGACAGGTTGTGGTATTGTAGTTATACTGAGCCAAGGTGGTATATGGCTCTTCGTCACACAAATGAACAAAAAAATGCTGCTTTATTTACAAATTTATTTACAAATAAATAATTAAAACAATTGACCGAAATATTATGTAAAGAGGGTGAAATTAAGAGATGTGAAATAGGATGCCACGCTCCACTGACGGCAAATCGTTACACGTGAAGGTGGGGTTATTATTATTATTATTAACATCTTTATTGACAAAATTAATTACAATTTTGCCTAATCTGAGGATTTCGATTAAGTCTTATTAAGCCTAACTCCTTGCTTGACGTGGACACGGGAGCTAAAAGGCAATTACATTGTAGAATTCTTTTATGTAATGAACAATAGATTTATACAATACCGCAGATTTCTTCCGCAAGAAAAATAATTGATATATCCAGCACTGTAGAATTCTTCTACAGAAAATAATGAATATAATCTAAATAAATTATAGAAACTGCTAGAGAGGAAACGTACTAGATTTTGTTATTATGCATTCGGCTTAACGACAACTAGCCTAAATGTTAACTGTGGCCACAAATAGGAAATGAATTAATTTGGTTAATTCTACGAATTAGTAATGTTAGTAATTACTATGGTTAATACAATGATGTATTATAACACAAAGGATGTATGAAAAATGTTGGTTATTTCCATCAGTCAGGTCGTGATGGTATCCCAACCTTCCTTCAATCACTCCAAATCGTCTGTTCTCTGGTACCGTGACAATTTGTGTATTCATTTTATTATGTCCTCATTTCTAAGCATTATATCCACTCATGATTACTGATTTTACAGCTAAATTGAAAGAGTTGAAAAAGGGAGAGGGAGTGGGGAGAGGGACTTAAGGTTTAGGGTGAGCTGTGAACAGTTTAGAGTGCTTTAGGGTGAGCTGTGAACAGTTTAGAGTGCATGACAGGTGTCATTCTCAAGAGACTCAAATTCTTCAGGTTCTTCTGTCATTCGTTGCATCTTTGCAAGCAATGTTTTGGAATATTTGCTGTTTGCCAACATTATACGTGTATTTGTGCATTTGAGGTTAAGAGTTGCCAACATTAAATGTGTATTTGAGGTTAAGAGTCAGCTCAGAAGCCAAGTTTGTTCCCCTGGTGAATTGTCAAGACAGACATAGACGTTTCATACACAGCTCGTTTTCTAATTCAGACTGTATCATTAGGTTGGATAGGGTTAGGCTATGCTACGTTAGGTTGCATAGGATTAGCCTATGGTACATTAGGTTGGATAGTATTAGCCTATGGTACGTTAGGTTAGGTTAGGTTGTATTCTGTTAGGTTTTATACTTTTGTTTTTGTTTATAAAAGATGAGGAACTGTTTCTCAGCTTATAGGTGTGCGGAGACAATTGGTCGTTAAGCTTAAATGACACGCCTACGTCCGTGAACTTAGTAGGCCTAGTGTTGAAATTGCTAAAGTTGCAAGGTATTATTTTTGTTTGGGGGTGGGGGCTTCTTTCCTCCTCCCCCCCCCCCACCCTTCTCTCATCTTTCTTTATATCCACCTCCTTTTTTCTCCCCCACCTTCTTCCCTACCCCTCCACCCTCTTCTTTGTTTGCTGTGGGGGGGAGGGAAGGGAGAGAAGTGGTGTTGCCTGGCTGGCGGACAACCAGCTAGCTGCTGCTCCTTGTGTCTGAGACTTAATTACTTGCCCTGGATCTCTTCACAGAGGCTTTACAGCCTCTGACGCTACAAAGAGAAGGTCGCAAGTCATTAACGCAGGATAACGAGAATACGTCTCCTTTGAACTAACGAGAAAGAAGATTAAATAAAGTCTGATTAGCTGCCATCACAGTAAGCTGATTTCAATCCTAAAGGAACGTCTTGAAGACTCGCATTATAACAAATTGAGTCGAAAAGACGCCGAAAGATCACACACGTTCCGTATGTAAATATGTAATTCCGTAAATATGTTCCGTATATTTCGCCCGTGAAAAAGTTGCGGCTCACAAATATCCACGTTTTCTACGAATCCGTTTGGTTGGGTTGGGTAGGCTGCTTAGGTTCGTGCGTGTCTGCTTTGGTTAGCCCTTTGTGCTTTATGGTATGTACTGGCAGATCAAGAGACCGGGCTGAAGAACTTGGCTTGACGGATGTAATGAAGAGCCTGGTCATTTTGTTAATACAAGCCTGGTCCTTAGGGGAGCCGGTCGGCCGAGCGTACAGCACACTGGACTTATGATCCTGTGGTCCTGGGTTCGATCCCGGGCGCCGGCGAGAAACAATGGGCAGAGTTTCTTTTACCCTATGCCCCTGTTACCTAGCAGTAAAATAGGTACCTGGGTGTTAGTCAGCTGTCACGGGCTGCTTCCTGGGGGTGGAGGCCTGGTCGAGGACCGGGCCGCGGGGACACTAAAAGCCCCGAAATCATCTCAAGATAACCTCAAGATAAGATAGCTTAGGAGCCCTTAATTCTTTAAACAGTGGAAATCCAATCTTCATGCCCATAGTTAAGGATTGTAAGAAAAGGATAAATGAGATACAGCTTCATGGTCACAAAGTGAAATTCACGTGGATTCCATCTCGTTGCAATAGTGTTCAGCGAGGTGGCGAATGACCTGGCCAATCGAGCCTCATCCAAACCACCACCACAAGTTGACATTGTATGTGTTTGAACAATGTGACAAATAAGAAGCAAAATTATAAATAATCAGGTACGGGCAGAAGTGGCGAGGAGAGGTATAATGTATGAGAGAAGTCAAACCATGCAACACTACAAGTACAAGTATGTTTATTGAGAGAAGAAAAAATGCATCTCAAAGGGATAGAGTAGCTTAGGCTATTTCTACCCTCCCTCAACAATACATGTGTGTCAAAACACCCGTCCATTTTACTTATGGTAAAAGGAGAAATGCTTGGAGTGACTGTACATATGTGGCTCAGGCTTGGATACAAATATCCAAGGATATTTGGATTGTTGTGATTGGATGATTGAGATAAGGATTGTTCCAGAACAAATAGCCTGGATGTGTCTCAATGGAAAGATTTAGGATATTCTGGAGAGATATAAGAATCTTGCATCAAGATTGTTGTAACTTTGTTGAATTGTTTATACATACATTAAACGAAAATCGGGAGGAAGATAAACATGGACAAAGACTCGCTATCATTTCAAGACGATCATAATAGGGTTTTGAAATGGTTAAAAGATTGGCAGATGCAGTTTAACGGGGACAAATGTAAGGTTTTAAGGCTAGGAAATGATGAATTACATGATACGGGCTAGATGGTGGCGAGATTGCGAAAGGGATCTCGGAGTTATGATTAGTAGGAATTTAAAACCAAAAAATCAATGCATAAATATTCGTAATAAGGCAAATAGGACACTTGGATTTATTAATCGAAGCATTACTAATAAGACACCTGATGTTGTTCTGCCACTATATCTTGCTCTGGTTAGGCCCCATTTAGATTATGCAGTTCAGTTTTGGTCGCCGTACTATAGAATGGATAGAAATTCACTAGAACACGTCCAGCATAGGATGACAAAGTTAATCCCACAAATTAGAAACCTCTCATATGAAGAAAGACAGAGCTTAAATTACAATCGCTGGAAAGGCGAAGAGTTAGGAGTGACACGATAGAAGTGTTTACTGGTTCGGTAACAGGATTGTTGGTTTGTGAAACCAATTACCGCGTAAAGTGGAGGTGGGGTCCGTTAATTGTTTAAAGCGTGGGCGTGGGGTTGGACAATACGCTATGCGTAGGAAACGTCCATACATAGATGATGATTTACAAAGATAATGTTAGATTTATAGATAGAGCTAGTACATACAATACCTAAAGCCAATACGCTATGCGTATTAGTGGCTTTAGGCATTGTATGCACTAGCTCTATCTATAAATCCAACATTATGTTTGTAACTCATCATCTATGCATGTACTTTTCCTGAATAAAAATTTGAATTTTGAATTTGACATGTATGTGGGTGGGATATTGGGTGGTTATAAATAGGAGCTGCCTCGTATGGGCCATTAGGCTTTCTGCAGTTATCTTCATTCATATGTTCTTATGTATTAGGTGATAGGAAACGTGCCGAAGCTGTACATGCCAAAACTGTTAAATATTAAAATCCAGCTGGAAAAACTCATCGCGGTAAATAGGAACAGCCTCGTATGGGCCAATAGGCCTTCTGCAGTTACCTTAATTCTTATGTTCTTATATAACATAATGATATTATATAAGAATATAAGGTTCAGGTTCATGATACAGGTTCAGGAGCTTGTACACCAATTGATTGACAGCTGAGGGGCGGGACCAAATATCAAAATCAAAAATCAAAATCTAAATGTTTATTCAGGTAAAGTACATACATACAAGGTGAGATACAAACATTGATGAATTTATTGATAGAGCTAGTATATACAAAGCCTAAAGCCACTATTACGCAAAGCGTTTCGGCCAGAAATAGTCGAAGCTCAGCCCCGTAAGCACAACTAGGCGAGTCCATTGGCATGACCATTAGGGTGTGCGCCATCTATGTTTTGACAGCAGCACTACAAATTAACCCCACGTTATTCTATATCCAATACATGAGTGTTATGGTCAGTTGCTAGTCTATATATGTTTCTGGACACAGTAAGTGATGTGAGGCTTGTTGCGGGCGGAGGTCAGTAGTAACTGTTTGAACTGTGTTGGAAGAGGATGTGTGGGCCAGTGTGGTAGACTAGCGGGTAAGTAGCGAGTCTTATAACTTTATAAAGCGCGTCTTTGTAATTCATTTGTGCTAATAACCAATTTTAGGCTATTTAGTTCGGTTTTGTTTCAGATTTATTTAATGGGTATCGCTAGTAATATAAAGGTGGGGAGGGAAATTGTGTAGGTTAAAGTAAATTACCTGTGTAAGCTACATACGTGTTTGAAAAATAATTGACCAGATCGTTATCTTGCGGAATAACGTAGGCATTTTAGGGTTGATAAATCTTCTTCTTTAAGGAGCTGTTAACTTGACAGTTAAGTCCCAGCTGTATCTAAGTGACTGGATGAACAACCCAGCGGGTTTTCTTCCTATTGGGGAGTGTTGTACATGCTATGGCTGTGTCCACTCAAAAAATGAGTGGCGCTGCCCAATAAACTCTCCCCTCGGGGCTAAATTTAAAATTTTTAAAGTTGACCAGACTGCCAGAAGCCTAGTGACCTTGAAAAGGCCATGAAGTTATGGTCTTGTCAATGTTCCGCACTTTTGGAAGCGGTTAAAACGGTAAGGCTTCGGCGGTTTCATAGGCTTGTACCTTTGTGGGGAAAATGTCCTAGCGACCACGTTAGACGCTTGATAAAATTGTTTTGAGCTCTTAAAAATTCATTTGAGCAAAGGCCGGCCCTTTAATTACGCCTAACGTGCGGCTGGAGTTTTAAAGTGTCCTCGGTTATGGACGAAGACAGTCTTGTATCGAATTGATTAGGGAAAGTTTGGGGTCTATTTAAAACTGTCAGAAGTGATAACGGAGATAACTAGGTTTTTGTTCTGTAATTACTAAACATTATCAGCCGAACAAGACTTTGGGGGAGGACAGGTTGGCTAATTCAGCTGTTACCAGGGAGGGTGTTTTACTTAAATGGTATAACTCTAGTCTGACAGTCTTTGCCAGGGTGCTTAAATACAAAGAGCAGCTTTGAGAAGTTTATCATTCATTAGTCGGGCAGTACTAGACGTGTGAAGCTACTAATGTGGTACCAGTTTTAAAGGAAAACGAAAAATTTAAAGTGTTTTTTTAGAAATTAATCTTTACCTGATCAACCAGGCTGACTCATACGTCAGGCTGCGAGCAGCTGCCTCAAACAGCCTAGTTGATCAGTCCAGCAACCAGGAGGCCTGGTAGACGACCGGGCCGCGGGGACGTTAAGCCCCGGAGGCACCTCAAGGTAAGGTTTAATTTGTCAAATTACTGGCCAATTAGCTTAGTCTATTGTGGGAATTTACTTTAATCTTAAAACTGCAAATATTTTTGTTCATTAAAAAATCATGCATGAATTCCATAGTTCTGCTATTAGCTGTTCATGCTGTAACACTTGCATAGTTGATGCAATAGTGATAAGGTGTGTGATGTGTACCTTGACTTTAGCAAAAAATTTTTGATAGTGCCAAATGGGAAAATTGATAAAGGCTCAAAATATTGGGTGCTGTATAAAGTTTAGAGTATTGCTATACCAAAGTGGTTAGTATAAATGGTGTCAAAGGAAATATTGTTAGTGCCTCGAGGCTAGTCTGGGACCTCGGTTGAAGATGTAGGAGTAGGAATAATTGCAAAATAAAAAATCGGGAAAGAAATACTTGCTATCACTTGGAGAGGATGGTTTTGAAATGGTATAGATTGCCAGATGCAGTCTAATGCTGACAAATGCCTCGTTTTGAGGCTAGGAAGTCTTAGTACAGATAAGAGCTAGATGGCGTGGATTAAGAGGGACCAGAGTTGTATTGATACAAAATGCATAAATGTTCATAATTAGGCAAATGTACCGGTGATTTGTCAAAGCACTGGTAATAAAATGCGTGGTATTGTTCTCCAGGTATCTTGGTCTTGTTAAAGCCCCATTTAGGTGATGCAGTTCTCGTTGCCACACTATAGAACGGCTAATGAATAGACTTGAGTGGTCCAGGACTGACCGAAACGTCGTCGTCCCTTCACATTCTAGTGTGGTCTGGTCATAAATGTAGAACGGCTATAAAATGATGCATCCAACGTAGGATGAAAGTTAATCCCGCAAATTGGAAAAGTGTTCTATGAAAAGATTGAAAAGGCATGAATGCATGCCTCTTAAGGCAAAATTAGTGACAAGATAGGTGTAAAAGTGGACAAATGGACGTAAGGGAATATTAATGGGGTATTAAGAGTATACAAAAGACGACCCCGAAACAAAGGGTATGAATTAGATTGTTTAGCTTCGGGAAAGACCTGGGTAAATACTAGTTCGACAAAAAGGGTTTTGGTAGAACAAATTAACACGTAACAATGTGGAAGTGGGATCCCTAGATAAATCCAAAAGGGCAGTGACGAGGATTCGAACCTGCGTCTAGGAGCATCCCAGACACTGCCTTAATTGACTGAGCACATGGTAAAATCTTACCATGTCGTAGCTCAGTCGATTAAAGCAGCGTCTGGGATGCTGTTTGATGCAGGTTAGAATCCTCGTCATGGCTCGTGTGGATTTATCTAGTGATCCTAGAAAAATTTTGATGCCTCGCGTTGTGATTTGTGATCCCTAGATAGTTTAAAGTGTAGGTTAATTGTTCAGTGTAAGTGGGGTCCATATAAGGAGCTGCCTTGTATGGGCCAACAGCCCTTCTGAAGTTACCTTCATTCTTATGTTCTAACCTGCTTCGGCCTAGTTTTAATCGCAAGCTAATATGGTTATTAACTAGAAAGTATACTTGTATAATAGTTTAGTGAAAGCCAAAGTTGATAATGTATACTGTTGACTGAAGTTAAATAGGTGTTGCCTCGCCATACCAAAGCTTTAATCTCGGTAATCTAGTTTACAGCAGTCCTTACTTCAAAAGACTTAATTTCCTGTTCCTCTTGTCCTCCAAAATCTTAGTAAACTGGCTACTCTCGATGACTAACTAGTGTAATGTGCAGACACATTACAAGATGGTCCCTTGCCATGTTAGGAACTAACAGTTGTACATTGTTTTATAAAAGCTGTTTTGCCTCTACTTGTCAAATCCTGCATTGTAGAATATGGGTGTAGACGAAAGGGCGAGACATTTAGCAGTGAAACGTTAGTATTGGTCATGGCTTCTGGCGATATTGGCTGCCACCCTTGCCTGTGGGTGTTTAACATTGAGCAGGGCTGGCATGCAGTTTATAGGCTAAGTGTTCATGCAAACTATTGGGTGGCTTAATCTTCATAAACGTGGTGTTTCATGGGCCACTTACTGTTAACTGTCTACTTTTCGTAGGCTGGCCCCTTGTTTGGGTCTGTGCTCTACCTACTTGGCAAGGGGGTGCTTATGGTATCATGTGCAGTATTCAATTACAGGCTTTGCCTAATTTTAAAGCCTTGTTCGGCTTGAAAAAGGAGGAGGAGCGGGAATGGCTTGTATTCACTTTTTGAAGTCTCGTTAGGGGAAAATATAGATGTGGTACAAAGTAATTGTCAATAGAAGGCACCAAACCGGAAAGGCCATGTAGCATGGTGGTGGTATCCCTAGATTTGAGTATTAAAATGTTATGGCACGCTATTATATAATTTGGATATGCTTTAAAAATTAGGTCTTTACATAATTTCCATACTTGTTGCTTTCCTACTATGGGTCGATTTTATCCTGTAACAGACTTCATTGCCATACAAAAGTACAGTACATGTAATTTAACACCGTTAAAAACATTGCCTTCTGGTGCCCAGTTGAAAACTGATCCACTTTGTTTTTTAATGTTTTAAGTGATTTTAATTTGTCTTTGTCCTGCCTTAATTTACTAAATCCTAAAATTTACCAATTTTGTCCTTAAATAAGCTGTATTTGCAGGTGGTAATTTCGGGTGCTGCAGCTCTCCAGCCCAAGGTGTTGACTGGGTAGTCTTTGAGTGCCTCCCAACATGTTAGTGAGGTCCTGAGCTGATGTACCCTATGGCGAAGAGTGAGGCGGTAGTTTCCTGAAGTAATGCATGGTATGAGATGGCACCCAGGCTAACCAGCAGCCGGCACCAACTCTGGCCGACGTCGGGGTGGACAAGGCCCAGATCCAGTGGGGAGGAAGTCTACAGTAACCTGTAAAAGGTACAAAAAAATTACCCCCCCCCCCCCCCCTTGGTACTTTGTCTCGGGTTCCCCCCCCCCCCCCTTTCATTTACTTATTTTGTAAAGCTCTATCTTAAACGGCAGCATAGCTTGGCACTCAAGGCTTTAGTGGGACTGTTCCATTGGATTATAATTGTAGGTAGGAAGAAGCATAGTTCTGTTCTGCATTGTAGTGTCTTTAAACCATTGGATAAATGTTGCATTCAACTTGGTTATCTAGAGTTTTGTTAATTGATAAATTTTCAGTTTGAAGAAATTGGTACCATCCTGTCTGGCTTGCAATGTACCATTTGTATTAACAGCAGTTTCATAAAGAATGAATTATTGGCTGGTATTACATTCTCTAAAGCAGATAAAATCTGTGTAGTGTCCATGCCTTAATGATTAGTTGGGTGAATGAGACTAATCGGGCTGTATAACTGTACTTTACAAAGTGTAAACTTTGATTATTTTCAGGGTGTTGGTTTTTCTCGCTGAAGCTCGTACTTGTGCAATTTTGATTGGTGGATTGTGACTTGGTCCTTCTCGTGATCTACGGCAAGGTAATACTTTTAGCATTTATATTATGGTGCACATGTTAAGCTTTAGTTTTCAATTAGTTTGAGTCTTTAAACTACTTGTGTTGATGACCATTCTTGTATGGCCTTCATACTTCATTTGTTATGACAGAACACGAAACAATGGGTATAAATTGAATAAGTTTAGATTTAGGAAAGACTTGGGTAAATACTGGTTCAGTAACGGGGTTGTTGATTTGTGGAACCAATTGCCGCGTAACGTGGTGGTGGGGGTCCCTCGATTGTTTCAAGCGCGGGTTGGACAAGTATATGAATGGGATTGGGTGGTTATAGATAGGAGCTGCCTCGTATGGGCCAATAGGCCTTCTGCAGTTACCTTTATGTTCTTACCCTTCACTTTAACATGGATGTTAACATCCTTAAGTCAGGCCAAAAATAGAATATTTGGTTCTGCCATTTTTAGTAATTTGTAAGGCCTTTTCACTATTCTTAGATTTGATCTTTATCCATTAAGTTAATGTGCTTAAAGTTTCCTTACCAGTAGTGGTAGGTTTGAAAAGCTTTAAAAAAATCAATGTATACAGAGTTGCTGGAAGTCCTTTATTAGGGGGTTAATTTGAAAAGTAAATTTGCTTGACAGCCTTGTTTATATATTTTGGGAAAACCAACATTTTTTTTAAGTATTTAATGGAAATGGTGACTGAATCTGACTTTAGATGCCAAAAGTTAACCAGAGCAAAGTGTAGTTACACAAGTAGAAAATTGTTCCATTAAATTTAGATAAAATTAATAAGAGGTAATTCCAGGTGCAGGGAGATTTGTGTAGTGTCGGTCTTTACTTTACTATTGTGAAATTTAGTTTTATTAATTATGCCAATGCTAGTTTTTAGTCTTTGCACCTGTTTCCTAAGACTGACAGCATGAGGTGCATCTTCCAGCTTCGGTCTTGGAGAAGTTGTAAATTAGGTAATAACCTTTTAATTTAACTTTAAGTGTAGCATAGGCTTGTATCTCCCTTGGGGGAGTTGTATCAAACCCATAGAAATTTCCTTATCAAGATACTTTAAAGGTTGTAGGTTGTGCCTATTGTAATTTAGCATTGATTAACGTATTGTCAGTCTTAAAGGGCATGACAATGATTAGGTTTATAATCTAGTATCTTGGCATAGACAAAATTGATTCTACTAAAATACTAAATTGTATAGTTAATTATCAATTAACATTGGTGCACAATGAATGTGGTACTGCAGTTTAATAATTCTGGTCCACAATTTTGTTAACTTGAAAGTGTAGTGAATATTTCCAAGAAGTTGATTAGGTGTGGCCGTACCTGTTAGAATATTGAAGACAAACGTTCAAATTGCCCTTCTTGATGTAAGCCCCAAGCTCTAAGATGCTGTAATTTTTTTTAGGAGGTAAACTTATTTTGCTTGTTATGGGAAACTGGCCACTGTAATGATTAATCTCTACTCGATATACAGGCTCGATAGTATCTAGTCAATATACTCCATTGTCAATAAAGTACATAGTTGGGTCTTACGTGATCCATTGGCTAAGGAAAATCAAAGTTCATTGAAATAAGTTTATAGGGGTAAAATACACAAAGGGATGAGGTAGCCAAGGAAGTTCCAAACTTGTCCTTATTGGTAGTTTAGTAATTTTTTATCTAGTTGCATAATAAAAAGTGGTTGTTGGTAAAATGTTCATTGCACGCACCATAATGGCTGTCAGATCTTAAATGTACTTTAAATGGACTTTAATATTGACCTCTGCGAGCCTGAACACACTACTGCTGTTAGCTTCCTCAACTGTAAGAATTCCTGCTTCCTCGTACCCTCATAAAATAAAATGTTTATTTAGGTAAGGTACATACGTACAATAAATTTTTACAAAGATTGGTTGACTATAAAATGTCAGACTAAGGGTGAGAATAGTGGTAAATGTGACATTGATCAGTGCATCGTTACTAGATTCTTGAAACTTTCCCTTGCATGGTCAGAAACTTATTATATGGGTAATTATTTTAGACTTGTATTCTTGCCTATTGGTTTAATTTGGTGTGCAAGTGAGCTGTTATAGTTTCATAAACTTTATAATGAGACTAGTTATAGTGAGAGCACTTTATAAATATTAAAGTACCAGAGTTCATAACTTGTAAGCTTAATAACAAAGTATACTAAAATTGTCATATTTTCTCTTGACAGGTGGAGACTCATTATCTGCAATGACTGTTGCAATGTATTGAAATTTAATTAACTCTGGGTTAGTTGAAGTTATTGTAAATGGTGATGAATCATGGTATTTATAGCTGTTGCTCTAAATTTGTTAAAACGAGCTTTTTCAGTGTTTTGGGATACTTAATAAAGTTCTTGGCGCCATCTCTCTAGACTACAAATTCACTTGCGTTACTAGATTATAAATATATGGGTGTTATGGGAAGTTTACCTTGTTTGAGCAACAAGGTGGTGCAAGGCAGTTTTCCCCACTTGGATGTAGTTGTTAAAGCCAAACTTAACTTCCAAACATTGTAAGTTTGTAGTGTGGTGCGTGGGATTGAAGGAATAATGACCGCTCAACATTAATGAGATTAGTTGCATTAAAGTATGAAAGTTGAATAAATGTTTTGACAAATGTTGTAGTTATAATGCTGTACAACATTGTTAATTAGAGTAAGGATTATAACTTGATGAAAGGGTTATATTGGTTTTTAATTTTAGTACTTTGTTATAGCAAATGTTTGTATTTGAAGGTAGTTTAAATCTAATCGTAAATTACTCATTGGTAATATAGTCGGCAACTTAAATTTTAAAGTATCAGACATTGTAGGAAGACTTTACCAAAGTAAAGGTATATTGGTATATTTAATGCAAGTGTACGAAAGCTAAAAGTTGAAAAAAAAACGTTAATACAACAAATGTTGTATGGCTTGTCACTGCCCATCCTGTAGATTGTCATGGCAAGGTATCTACTAAATGAGGTCCCCCACACCCTCCCTTTCTGGCTCGTCGTGAGGGCTTGGTGGGTGGGTGCCAGTGATGCTTCATGGGTCGGTCTTGTCCTTTTGAGGCCTTGTGCTCCTGCTGCTGTCTTCACCAATTTTGCCAGGAATCTTCTTCCTTGCGTTTAATTTTTTCTTTTTCTGTAGTCATTTCCTACCAACCTTTTGCCAGTTTATATTCTGACTACTACTGTTTTGATGTCTGGGTAGGCATACTTTCACCCAATGAGCTGTAGTACTCAACGTCTCGAGTTAGGGGACCCTTTTATTGCCAATCCTCCTTTCGTCGCTGAATCCAATCTCGACGGATGGGATTTGTTCACATCCATTCTTTTAAGACCCTAGTCAGTCGCCCAGTACGTTGCTACTTGAACACTTGTTAGAAACGTAAGCCTGGCTCCTCTCCGTCCTCCTCCCCTGCGGGGTAAAAAGGGAGACGGCATTGCTTTCTTCCTTGCCCCCTTAACTATTACTTTGTCCCCCTCCCATTTTCATGGTTGGGGCCCATGTCACTAATGTGGAGATATCTTCCACCCCGATTCCCTATTGGTTCCTGCACTTGCAGTGTCTCTACCGCTCCTCCTATCCTGTCCTTGACGGCCCCTGTCTCCCTCCTCCGAATCCCAGTCAGTCTGCCTCTGGTCTTTCTTCCCGCTCTCTTCCCTGCATTCCTTACTAAGCTTACCCATGGTCCCCTAAACGTGATTTTGCTACCTTCATTGTTCTGTTGCTTGTCTTTATCTTTTTGATAATGTCCATTCTTCAATGGAATATTAATTTTTTTTTATGCCAACTCTCGTGAACTCTACTTCTGATTGTTTCACCACTTTGTCTCTGGGAGCTGATACTTGGTGTTCGTCCTTTCAACTTTGGTGGTTATTCCTTTCTCCCCCCCCCCCCCCACCCCCAGCAAGAGGCCCATAACTACTGCTCTTGATTCATACTGATAATCCTTGTCCACCCCCTACTGTTTCCATGGTCCATCCATTGTTTAGCTGCCCGTGTTAAATAAATGGCGATCTGTCCCTCCCTCCCTCCCCCCCCAATGTCCTGCTTTCTCTTCCCGATCTTAAGACAACCTGGACTCCTTGCCAGAGCTGGTGTTCATATTGGGTGATTTAAACTGTCGACATACCCTCTGGGGTGATGTTGTGACACACCCGGGGTGTTTCTTGCACAGTTCGTCCTTTTCTTGCCTGTCTCTTCTGAATTCTGGTGAGCTCACACGTGGACTGTCGAACTTGCACTTTCATGTCTTGATCTTTCTCTGATAATCTCTTTACTTAGATCTCGCGTGGAAGGTTCTTGACCTCCACGAGTGACTTATTTCCCCCATCCTTGGGGTTTTCATCCTCTCCTTCCCTAGGTGGCAGTTTGCCAAAGCTGATTGGAACCTAGTCACCCTCAGTGGTACTGACCACCTTACGGCCTCTTCCTCGCATCCTGCTCCTTTTCATGAGTCTTGGACGCTACCCTCCTCTTCCTTGCTCTGCCTCCCGTCGCACACGGAAGTGCGTTCCCTGAAATGCTGACTGCTCGGGTTGTAGGCTGTAAGTGTGCAGCGTGGGAAAGATGCTTGCAGAGGCTGAATCCTTTATTTTTGTTTCAGAAAGTGTAGTGGCCTGTTGGACGGCCCGTACAGCGAGGCGCGAGAGTTGGAAATGTTTCCAACATTACGTCAGATACTCCTCCTCTGCTGCAGATTTGGAAGATCTGCAAGATTGTGGGTAAGCTCATTCCAGATGACTAGCAGGTTGACCTGTGTTACTCTGGTGGTGGACCCAGTGCAGGTCACAACCGAACTGGGTTTCCACTTGTTATCTGTGGTTCTAATCTTCAATTATTCCTTAAGCACGTTCTTGAATCTCGTTCCTTAAATTTCCACACTCGATGGTACTACATAGCCTTCCCGGTTTGGTGGGTTTTATAAATTTTTACTAAATGATGTTTAAGTTCTTTACACATGGCAACAAATGGCAAATACATTTTAGATCTCTATACATTTACTTATCCATTTAAAATTAAATCCCGTTTGATCCGAAGCAAGCAAGAGTGAGTGATTTGGCATGAATCCTGGGGGACTAACTGTATCTTCTGTTTAACGGTGTAAAATTGGTACCTAGTTAAATTTTGTGTTCTGGGGTAACTTGAAATGAAGTTTAGCCAAAATGGTACGCATGCTAGTGGCTGTAAAAGAATGAAAGATCTGTCGTATTGTTTTTTAATGACATAAATAGCAACAACTTTTGAGTTTGCTTGGAATGTTCCAAATACATGTTACCAAAGAGTAATGGTATATTTTAGTACCAAAGATATATGGGGGAGGGGAATCGTAAACTATGAATTTGAAATGCAAATTTTGTAGCATATAAACCTTAAATGTGGACTTCAGAGTGCTTTATCTTAAAATTTATAAATTAGATATGGTGGGGAAGTAGATAATTTGTTAGTGGAACTTTAAAATGACAAATATTTTAAAGTTAAACAAAATGAAATTGCTATGCGAAACCTTATTAACCATATTTAATGTTCCATTGACAGGTTGTGGAAGGTTCGAACATAACTTCAGGAACAGTTGCAGAACAATCGCTGGAAGTGTTAAATGCTACAGAAAGTAGCAGTTGTCAGAATTAGAGGGCAAAAGTAAGTTTATTTAGTTTAATAGGTAAAATGTGTTTACATAATTTTTACCTAAAAAAATATTTAATGAAATTGTGAAGGGGCCTGGAAATGGGGTAAATAGAAACTAGTAAGTGGGCCTTGACTAGTGGGGTACTATATCCTAAAGTTAATTCTTGCGGGAATTGTACTTTGAATAGAATAAATGGGACTTTTAATTTGTGAATGTAAAGTTGGGCACTAACTGTTAAATGGCATAAATTCTCAAGTTAGATATTTTTCATGTTTTATTTAAATCTTAATTTGTTTGCTTAACACCAGAAGCTAAGTTGGTTGCATGGTTCTTAATTATTTGGCTAGAAATCATTCAATTATAAATTACACAAATCACAATGTGATATTTCTAATGCACAAGGGCTGTGATGAGGGTTCAAACTAGTGTCGGAGGATCCCAGGTGTGCCTTAAGACTGTGCCACAACATGGTAAGTCTACCGATATCATGGATCCTGCAGTTGGATGTAGGGTTGAACCCTTATAATGGCCCTTGGTGATTTAATCTGTTTGTAGTTTTATTTATTTTTTTTTTTTCTACCACAGACGTGGCCACACATTTACAATGCTAACCAGCATATATAAATTTTCTTCTGTCCTCTATGGACAGGGTTAGAGAAATGTTAAACAGAGTTCAAGGGTTTATTGAACACTCAACCACAGAAGGTGATTCGGTGCTATTAAAATGCTAAGCTAACCTACATATTTTAAGTGATTTTCATTTTTCTTTGTCCTGCCTTAATTTACCAAATTCCAAAAATTCACCAATTTTGTCCTTAAATAAGCTGTATTTGCAGGTGGTAATTTCGGGTGCTGCAGCTCTCCCGCCCAAGGTGTTGACTGGGTAGTCTTTGAGTGCCTCCTAACATGTTAGTGAGGTCCTGAGCCGATGTACCCTATGGCGAAGAATGAGGCAGTAGTTTCCTGAAGTAATGCATGGCATGAGATGGCACCCAGGCTAACCAGCAGCCGGCACCAACTCTGGCCGACGTCGGGGTGGACAAGGCCCAGATCCAGTGGGAGGAAGTCTACAGTAACCTGTAAAAGGTACAAAAAAATTAACCCCCCCCCCCCTTGGTACTTTGTCTCGGGTCCCCCCTCCCTTCTTTCATTTACTTTGTAAAGCTCTATGTTAAACGGCAGCATAGCTTGGCACTCAAGGCTTTAGTGGGATTGTAGCATTGGATTATAATTGTGGGTAGGGAAAAGCCTAGTTCTGTTCTGCATTGTAGTGTCTTTAAACCATTGGATAAATGTTGCATTCAACTTGGTTATCTTGAGTTTTCTAAATTGATAAATCTTCAGTTTGAAGAAATTGGTACCATCCTGTCTGGCTTGCAATGTACCATTTGTATTAACAGCAGTTTCATAAAGAATGAATTATTGGCTAGTATTAAATACCCTCTAAAGCAGATAAAATCGGTGTAGTGTCCATGCATTGATTAGTTTGGTGAATGAGACTAATCGGGTTGTATAACTGTGCTTTCTAAAGTGTAAACTTCGAATATTTTCAGGGTGTTGGTTTTTCTCACTGAAGCTCCCACTCGTGCAATTTTATGACTGGTGGATTGTGACTTGGTCCTTCTCGTGATCTACAGGAAGGTAATAGTTTTAGCTTTTGTATTATGCTGCACATGTTAAGCTTCAGTTTTAAACGTGTCTTCAAACTACAGTACTTGTGTTGATCATTTTTGTATGGCCTTCATGCCCTTCACTTTAACATGAATGTTAACATCGTAAAGTCAGGCCAGAAATAGAATATTTGGTTCTGCCATGTTTAGTAATTTGTAAGGCCTTTTCACTATTTCAGAATAGATCTTTATCTATAAAGTTATTTAATGTGCTTTAAGTTTCCTTACCAGTAGTGGTAGGTTTGGAAAACTTTATAAAATCCATGAATACAGATTTGAAGGAAGTCCTTTATTAGGGGGTAAATTTGCTTGACAGCCTTGTTTGTTTTATTTTGGGAGAACCAGCATGTTTTAAATATTTAATGGAAATGGTGACTGAATCTGACTTTAGATGCCAAAAGTTAACCAGAGCAAAGTCTAGTTACAAAAGTAGAAAATTGTCCCATTAAATTTAGATAAAATTAATAAGTGGTAGTTCCAGGTGCAGGGAGATTTGTGTAGTTAGTCAGTCTTTACTTTACTATCGTGAAATTTAGTTTTATTCTTTTCAACAGGAGTCTTTGCACCTGTTTCCTAAGACTGACAGCATGAGGTGCATCTTCCAGCTTCGGTCTTGGAGAAGTTGTAAATTAGGTAATAACTTTTTAATTTAATTTTCTTAAGTGTAGCATAGGCTTGTATCTCCCTTGGGAGAGTTGTATCAAACCCATAGATATTTCCTTATCAAAATACTTTAAAGGTTGTAGGTTGTGCCTATTGTAATTTATCATTGATTAACGTATTGTCAGTCTTAAAGGGCATGACAATGATTAGGTTTATAATCTACTCTTAGCATAGACAAAATTGATTCTACTAAAATACTGAATTGTATAGTTAATTATCAATTAACATTGGTGCACAATGAATGTGGTACTGCAGTTTAATAATTCTGGTCCACAATTTTGTTAACTTGAAAGTGTAGTGAATATTTCAAAAATTAAGTGTGGCCGTACCTGATAGAATATTGAAGACAAACGTTCAAATTGCCCTTCTTGATGTAAGCCCCAAGCTCTAGGATGCTGTTAATTAGGAGGTAATCTTATTTTGCTTATGGGAGACTGGCCACTAATGATTAATTTGTACTAGATATACAGACTCTATAGTCTCTAGTCAATATACTCCATTGTCAATGAAGTACATAGTTGGGTCTTAGGTGATCCATTGGCCGAGGAAAATCAGTTCATTGAAATAAGTTTATTGAGGTAAAATCCAACAAGGTATGAGGTAGCTAAGTTCATAACTTGTCCTTATTGGTAGTTTAGTAATTTTTTAGCTAGTATGTTGCATAATAAAAATTAAATGGTTGGTAAAATGTTCATTGCACACACCATAATGGCAGTCGGATGTTAAATGTCGGACTAAGGGGTGAGATTAGTGGTAAATGTGACATTGATCAGTGCATTACTAGTGTTGAAACTTTCCCTTGCATTGTCAAATTAATTATATGGGTAATTATTTTATATTTGTATCTATTGGTTTAGTTTGCAAATGTTGTAAGTTTCATAAACTTTCTAATGAGAATTGTTATACTGAGAGCACTTTATGAATATTTAAAGTACCCAAGTTCATAATTTGTAAGCTTAATAATTAAAACGAAGTATACTAAAATGTGTTCGTATTTTCTCGACAGGTGGAGACGCATTATCTGCAATGACTGTTGCAATGTATTGAAATGAGTTTAAAAACTCTGGGTTAGTTGAAGTCACTTATTGTAAATGGTGGTGATATGGTATTTAAAGCTGTTGCTCTAAATTTATTAAAACAAGATTTTTCAGTTTTCTGGAATGCTTAATAAGGTTATTGGCACCATCTGTGTCTTGACTACAAATTTACTAGTTACTAGAATATAAATATATGGGTGTTATGGGCAGTTTACCTTGTTGGAGCAACAAAGTGATGCAAGGCATCTTTTTCCCCACTTTGCTGTAGTTGTTAAAGCCAAAATCTTGCAAACGTTGAAAGTTTGTATTGTGGTGCATGGGATTGAAGGAATAATCACCGTTCCACATTGATAAGATTCCTGTTGCACTGAAGTCTGCCAGTTGAATAAATGTTTTGGCAAATATTGTAGTTATAATATTGTACAACATTGTGTTCATTAGAATAATGATCATAACTTGGTGAAAGGGTTATTATATTAGTTTTCAATTTTAGAAGTACTTTATTATAGCAAATGTATGTACTTGAAGGTAGTTAAAATCTAATTTATATATTACCTGTTGGTAATATAGTCGCCAACATCAAACTTAAAGTATACAAGGCATTATAGTAAGTCTTTACCGAAGTTTGTGTATTAGGATATTGTAGGTGTACTTAAGCTGAAAATTGAAAATGTTAATAGAACAAAATTGTATAGATCATTGCCCATACTGTAGATATTAGTCATTAAGTTTTCTACTAAATGACGTCCCCCCCCCCCCTTTCTGGCTCGTGTTGTCGTGACGTAAAGTAAAGGAGGGGGGGGGGGGGATTAACGCACAACTGTCATTAGTTTCACCTCACATCTGCAAGGTGACAATCATTCATAATTTCACATTCAATGATCTTGTAATATCGACACATTTGTTTGTAAAAACCTCACTTTTGATATCGCATTTTGATAGTAAGACCCTTCAGCCACCTATCATTCTTGCTGGTGCCAGGTGCTCTGTTAAAGAGTACATCCCACCCCCCCTCTGTCATTGTAATAAATGAGGCAAGTTAGAGCACGGTGCCCTCAAATGCACAAGTCTGTTTCTCTGCCCCATGTGTGAGGACGATAGCCACTCTGACAGATTCCTCACATCCCCTGGGCTCTCTGCCTGAATTGCGGTGAGGCCCAGCCTACATTCTCTCGCACGGGTATCGACTCAAAGCTTGAAGTAGTCCTCGACTTGAAACAGCAGGATCATTTGACTTTTCCTGAGGCAAAATGCAAAGTTTGCCGTCTCCACCCTTTCACTGGCGTATCTTATGCTTGCACGTTCTGCTTCTCCTCGTCCTTCCCACCTTTGTCCCACAACCATTTCTAGGCCTTGGAGCCGAACATGCCCGCCACCTTCCCTGTTCCTTTACGTCCTGGGTCGAAAGGTATCACTCGTGAATCTCCTTCTGGATTCCCCCACCATTTCCTACCTTGTCTGCCAAGTCTTTTAGTTTTCCCCGATCGTTCTTGTCCCTCCCTACTACCTCTTGGCCCTTCACGTCGCCTTCCTGTCCAGGCTGATGTTGGTAATCTTCCCAGCAGTCGTAATGTTGTTCACTCCCATTCTTGACTTAAGACCATAGTCGGTCGTCCAGTACTATGTTACTGGAACATCTGTCTGTCAGAAACGTAAGCCTGGCTCCTCTCCATCCTCCTCCCCCTGCGGGTAAGAAAGGAGACGGCATCGCTTCTTCCTCGCACCTTCTTCCTTCGTGCCCTACCATTTTAGTGGTGGGGGGGGAGGGCCCCCCTACCATTTTAGTGGTGGGGGGGGGGGGCCCCCCCCCTGTCCCTAATGTGGAAGTTTCTTTTCGCCCAATTCCCTCTTGGTTGCTGACCTAGAGTTTCTACCCCCTCTCCTCCTGGCCTTGACAGCCCCCCCTGTCTCCCTCCCAGATCCTGTCAATCTGCCTCTGGTGTCCTCCTGCTCTTTTTCCCTCCATTCTTACTAAGTTAACCCATGGCCTGCTAAACCTTATTCTGATCCTTGGCTTTGTTTAATATGCCGTGTTATTTACCTTCGTTTCTTCATCTTTCTGTTGCTGTCCTTTTATCTTTTTGATAATGTCGAATCTTCAATGGAATATTCATGGGCTTTATGCCAACTCCCATGAACTCCGACTTCTGATTAGGTTTCACCACTTGGTCTCCGGGAGACGATGCTTGGTGCTTGTCGTGATGACTGTCGTGGTTATTCCTTTCTTCCCCTTCCCCCTCGCCTCTTGCTGGGGCCCATAGCTGTTGGTCTCTTGATTCGTACTGATAATCCCTTTGTCCACCCCCCCTTTACTGTTTCCATGGCCTATCCATTATTTTGTTGCCTGTCATTTTGCGTAAAATAGTGTTCCATTTCTCTCCCCAAATGTCCCGCTTTTCCTTCCTGATCTTGAGAACCTCCTGGACTCCTTAACAGAGCTGGTGTTCCTGTTTGGTTATTTAAACTGTCTACATAGCCTTTGGGGTGATGACACACCCGAGGCGGCCCTCTCGACCCATTCGTCCTGTTACCCGAATTCTGGTGAGCCCACCCCATGTGGACTGTGTAACTCTCACTTTCCTGTCTTGATATTTTTCTGATCGTCTCTGTACTTGGATCTCTCGTGGAGGGTTCATAACCTCCATAAGTGACCATTTCACCATCCTTGTTTCCCCTTGTCTTTTCACCCTCTCCTTCCCTAGGTGTCAGTTTGCCAAAGCTGATTAGAACCTATTCACCCTCCGTGCTACTCTGACCTCTCCTTACAACCTCTTCCTTGCACCCTCCTCGTTTTCATTAGTCTTTGATGCTACCCTCTATTCCTTGCTCTACCTCCCGGGGCACACGGAAGTGCGTTCCCTGGAATGCGGATTGCTAGGGTTGTCGGCTGTAAGTGTGCAGCCTGGAAAAGACTGACGCTGGCAGATCAGCCTGGTAAAGACTGACGCTGGCAGATGGCTGATTCTTATATTTTGCTTCAGAAAGTGCAGCGGCCTGTTGGACCACCTGGACAGCGAGGCGCGAGAGTTGGAAGTGTTTCCACCATTACGTCAGATACTCTTCCTCTGGCGCAGATTTGGAAGATCTGCAATATTGTGGGTAAGGTCATTTCCTATGACTAGCAGGTTCTTCACCTCTGTGGTACTCTGGTGGTGGAGCCAGTGCAGGTCACAACCGAACTGGGTTCTCACTTGTTAGCTGTGGTTGTAACCTTCAATTTTTCCTTAAACACGTTTTTGAATCTCGTGCCTTAAAGTTCCACACTCGATGGTACTACATAGCCTTCCCGGTTTGGTGGGTTTTATAAATTGTTGTTAATGAGGTTCAAGTTCTATAAAAGTGGCAACAAATGGCAAATACATTTAGATCTCTGTACAGTTTTCTTATCTATTTAAAATTAAATCCCATTTGATCTGCAAGCAAGAGTGATTTGGCATGAATCCTGGGCGAGTAACTGTATCATCTGTTTAACGGTGTAAAATTGGTACCTAGTTAAATATTTAGTGTTCTGGGGTAACATGGAATAGTTATTGGCGTAAATGGTACGCATGCTAGTGGCTGTACAAGAATGAAAGATCTGTCGTATTTGTTTTTTTGACATAAATAGCAACAACTCTTGAGTTTGCTTGGAATGTTCCAAATACATGTTACCAAAGAGTAATGGTATATTTTAGTACCATTGAGATATATGGGGGAGGGGAATCGTAAACTATAAATTTGAAGTACAAATTTTGTAGCGCGCAAACCTTAAATGTGGACTTGAGTGCTTTATCTTAAAATTTATAAATTAGACATGGTGGGGGAAATAGATAATTTGTTAGTGTAGTTTTAAAATGACGAATCTTTTAAAGTTAAATGAAATTGCTGTGCAAAACCTTATTAACCATATTTAATGTTCCATTGACAGGTTGTGGAAGGTTCGAACATAACTTCAGGAACAGTTGCAGAACAATCGCTGGAAGTGTTAAATGCTACAGAAAGTAGCAGTTGTGTCGGAATTAGAGGGCAAAAGTAAGTTTATTTAGTTTAATAGGTAAAATGTGTTAACATAATTTTTACCTAAATATTTAATGAAATTGTGAAGGGGCCTGGAAATTGGGTAAATAGAAACTAGCTTAAGGCCTTGACTAGTGGGTACTATATCCTAAAGTTAATTATTGCAGGAATTGTGATTTGAATAGAATAAATGGGACTTTTTTAATTTGTGAATGTAAAGTTGGGTGCTAACTGTTAAACAGCATAAATTCGAAAGTTAAAGATTTTGAGTTTTATTTAAATCTTAATTTGTTTGCTTAACTTTTGGTGTAAAGTTGGTTGCATGGTTCTTAATTATTTGGCTAGAAGTCTTTCATTTATAAATTACAAAAATCACAATGTGATTTCTAATGCACAAGGGCTGTGATGAGGGTTCAAACTTATGTCGGAGGATCCCAGATGTGCCTTAACACTGTGCCACATGGTAAAAGAATCTCAACTGGGAGGTCTACCGATATCATGGATCCTGCAGTTGGATGTAGGTTTGAACCCTCGTAATGACCCTTGGGGATTTAATCTGTTTGTAGCTTAAAAGGCTATGTTCATAAATTAAAGAATTGAATGATGGTAACTGTACTGCAACTTGGTTTATTTATTTGAAGCTTAAATAGATATTGTCTTCCAGAATATTGATGGGAAAGTCGAGAACTTCAGCCCTGAGTTTGAAGGTGTTAATTGCTTGACATAATGAATTAGGTGAGTGGTAGTAAACATTATTGTAAATAGTATAATAACTTAAACAATCGATCATTATGGCTGAAGATAATCTCTAAATGATGCTTACATGTAGAAAAAGTAAATTGCTGAAAGATATTACTGACTTTAATGTACTTATTAAACTTAGTTTGACTAACCATGTTTTTGCTTGATTAGCATTAAAGTGAGAATTCTAACCATCTTAATTTTAAGATTAAAGGAACCTGCATATGTAAAATCTTATTTAACAAGCTAATTTGGGTTAATGTTTCAGGTGGTATGGAAGATTACAATGTCATCAAAGCATTGACTGGCTTCAGTGTGGCTGTTCTACTCTTCAAATCTACAAAAGTTGGTATGTGGAATTAAATGTTTTAGCTATGTCAACTAATTAACTTACTTTCTTTCATCTAGTCCATTTATAGATGTGTACCAAAGTCCTACTGTTACCACCGGCAGGGATTGATGCAGTTTGTACTGATCCTACCCCATTTCATAGAAGGGGACCAGGCAGTCCTGCAGATTTCCCTGGCTTGGCTTTTTCAGAGCCCTGCTCTACTACCCATCCAATAGATGGACTAGAATTGCATAGGTGTAGGGACCCTTAACAATGTGCAAACATTGTTAATAACTACAGGGCTTGTTCACTGAAAGAGTGGATACATCCAGAGGTTTAGTGCCTGGAACATGATGTACATAGGCTTCACAAGAAGCCTATGTACATCATGTTGAGGGCACTAAACCAAAAGATGTGTTTCACTCTTTCAGCCAACAAGTCCTGCCTCAAAATGGAAGTAAGGGGTAGGCCTTGCTGAGCCAATCTTAAAAGATTGGGACTTAGGGGTTTGGGTAGTAATTTGTATGTGTTAGTGTTAATAAAATGAGTGTCCCTGTTTGATATACTTTATTTTTCTTTTACAGGTGGATGTTGTCCTTGGTACTCTGGAGTTTTCCCTGGCCTTGATCTTTTGGAGTCTTCAGTGGATTGCATCTAGGAGGAGCAGCTTCCCACAACCTGAAATGGACAATAGTCAATATAAGATGTTACACTGTATACTATGTAATAAATATTCTAATGAAACTACTTTATACTGTACTTTATCCTGAAATTAGCAAAGATTCTATCATGCTGGAAATTACCGATTATTCCTGATGCAAAGTCTAACATCTAAAGAACTTCTAAAATTTATAAATAACTTACTAAAGTGAAAACTAATTGACATCACTAAACTTCAGAGTTTTCTGCATGCAATATGCTAAACTGTATTAAGCTGAAAAACACTTAAGCAGTTAAATCTAAACTAACATTGCAAATTAATAAAGTAACTTTAGTTTAATTTTAGTTAAATGTAAAATTATTTGTATAGCCTACATTTAAGGCTAAGCAACATGAAAAATTGAAAGATTAGTGGAAGTGTTGTAAAAAATACATTGACTTAAATGTCAAACTAAAACTTCTATACAACATTGTTTTTCACCAGAGCCTTAAATGCCAGACCTGGAACACCTTGGTTCCAGTAATCTGAAGTTAATTATAATGGGCTAGATATTAAAACTTGATAGGAAAGTATGAAACTACCTATTGTCAGATAAGTAAAATCCAACTCTTAAAGTTCTACTAGTATAAGAAACAATATTAGACATGACCTGTCTGAACTGTCCTACCAAATATTCTGAATGAACACTACATTATTCACACCAGACATCCCATAACCACAAATGTTTCAAGCTGATGAAGAGAACTAATTAAGGATAGTGTGTTATATATACACTACCTGTACCAAGTACCATAAACTGGAAGTCTTACAAACTAAAATGTATAAATCCCACATAACTGGAATTTAATCCAAACTTAAATGAACTGCCAGCCAAAATTACTAAAGTTAAAAAATGTTCAGAATAAGTTTATCTAGATTTCAAATATCACTCAAATTTTCGAAAGAGCCAAGCACAAAACTGTCAGATTAGTTTCACCTCACATCTGCAAGGTGACAATCATTCATAATTTCACATTCAATGATCTTATAATATCAACACATTGGTTTGTTAAAAACAAACCAGGTCACTTTTTTTTGGAAATGGTAACCAGCTATTCAAATAAGACTTCTGGTACACATTTGCTTGCTAAAGCTTTTGATAAGGTACCATATGAGAGACTAGGAAGGAAAAACAGGCACACAGAATCAATGGTAACAGTCAAGATATTAAAGCGTCCTAAACAGAAATGACTGGAAAATTTTGCGGGATTCATACCACAAGGGTCTAAACCTTATAAATCGACGACATCAAACACCAAGATTTATAGAGTAAAAAAAAACCCAATGATATCAAGCCCTTACAAAGATCTACATGAACTCTAAAAATGGTTACAAGACTGACAAATTCTTCTTAATACAGAAAACATTGTTCTGGCTCACATGCAAGGTTTTACAATCCATATCACAACTACCACATTAACATTACAACGAAATAGAACGATGAAATAAGGACCTAGTATGAATCTGTCATTCACCAACAGTTGATGCAGTGAAATGTAAGGTAATTATAAAAGAGGATAAGGTAATTATAAAATTTAGCACCCTCAGAGGGCGCTAAATATCACCAAGAATGCCAATACGAGAACAGAACGCATAAGGCGAACGATATCAAAACTCCGATTCACCAAGAATTCTATCGAGGGACAAGTGACCGCGAGGGGCAGTCCAAAAGCAAGACACACACACATCCTGAAAGTCAGGACATTCAACAAGGATATGCACAACTGTAAGAGGGACAACACAATTTGGACAATAAGGAGCAGGGTGGCACTCCATTAAGTGACCGTGAGTTCAGCGAGTATGGCCAATCCACAACCTTGCTAGAGCAGTTTCCCACCACCGGTTACGGTGGCAGGAGGAACGACAGAGGGACACACTACATTTGAGAGTACGCAGCTTGTTACCAACAACCATGCCAAGGGGCAAGGATGGAGGAATGAATAACTGGATAAAAGTTGGAGTAAGGAATACTTTTATGGGAGATGGGACAAGAACGGATAGCTTCCCAAGTGGCACCATCCGCACGCTCATTTAAAGAAACACCAATATGGCTGGGAACCCAGCAAAACTCTACCGATTTAAATTTACTAAAATTAAGAAACAGCCAATGTTGAATCTCGATGACCACCGGATGGACAGGATTAAAGGACCCTAGAGCCATGAGGGCACTACAAGAGTCAACTACAATCACAAAGGAGGATTGACAATAAGAAAGCAAGAGACGGAGAGCATAGAGAATAGCATAAAGTTCTGCTGTAAAGACGCTAGCCTCCGAAGGGAGGCGACACATATAAGTGCGGTCAGGAAAAAAACAGAGTAGCCCACACCGTCCGCAGACTTAGACCCATTGGTGAAGATGGAAACAGAGTGGGAGTGCGAAGAAAAGTGCTCAAGGAGCACTTCAAGGAGCACTCAAGGAGCACTCAACAGTCTCCGTGGTGTAGTGGTAAGACACTCGCCTGGTGTTCCGCGAGCGCTATGTCATGGATTCGTATCCTGGCCGGGGAGGATTTACTGGGCGCAATTCCTTAACTGTAGCCTCTGTTTAACGCAACAGTAAAATGTGTACTTGGATGAAAAAACGATTCTTCGCGGCAGGGAATCGTATTCCAGGGACCTGCCCGAAACGCTACGCGTACTAGTGGCTGTACAAGAATGTAACAACTCTTGTATATATCTCAAAAAAAAAAGGGAAAAGGCGTTTCAGAACGTTAGGAGGGGTAAAAGCTTTAGTGATGCGGGTCAAGGACGTACAAAACTATGGAAGAGGGAGTCTCCACGGAGGCAAGGAAACAACAATACAAGGAGAAACATTACAAATACGAACTGAAAGAGAATCCTGTAAGCGAAATAACTGCACAGAAAGAGGGAGGCGATGAAGATGAACAGGAACCACAGGAGGGGTCAAAGTTAAAGCACGACAGAGGCGAGAGGAAGGATGTTGTAAGGACTGCGCAAGATAGCGAAGATAGCGATCACAGCGGTCCTGGAGAGAGAGAAAGCCAGTGTCAACATACAAACTGAGGGTGGGAGTCGAACGAAAGGCACCAGCGCTGAGCTGCAACCCAGTATGGTGCAAAGCATCAAGATATGAAGAGTAGAAGGATGGCAAAGAGTAGAAGGAGAAGTAGAAGAGTATGCAGGGCAACCATAATCGAGTTTAGACAGGACGAGAGAGGAGTGCAAATAGAGGACCATGCGCCTATCCACTCCCCAAGAAGTATGGGACAAAACCTTAAGTAGGTTAAAGGCCTTGGAGCATTCAACTCGGAGGTAAGAGATATGAGCCGACCAAGACAAACGAGTGTCAAAGATTAACCCCAAAAGCTTAGCGGAATCCCTGTACACAAGGGGATGACCATAAAGCGACAAGGAGGGACGAAGAACGACATGCTTCCGAGTAAAAGTCATAACACAAGTCTTAGAAGCAGAGAACTTGAAGCCATG